AAAAGCGGAAAAATCTCATCCCTGAAAAAAGCCATAGACTGAAAGAAACAATTTTTTTTCTTATATGCATAATTCGGCCACATACCAAGCACTGTAGTTATCTTATATATTGCTTACTTCATTTCATAGCTTCGCAGAAAAATACTAAATAACTTTCAATTGTAATTTTAGTCATTATTGAAAGAATAGTAATAGGACTAAGTGTTACTATTTTTTTTCTTTATACTATTCTTATTTTATTGTATGTAAATACAAAATGTACTGATTTTAAATCTTCAGACGTAGATAATAAGTACTTTTACAATAATTTTTTTTAATTATACATGCATTACTCTTAACTGCTTTGTATGAGAAATTGCATATCACAAAAAAATAATTTAAAAAAATAGATTTTGTTAAGTTATGCTTGGTAATATTTTATGATCAATTTTATATTAAAAATATTTCATTAGCGACTAATCTAATAGTTGTTTTACTATGCTATACTGAGAAGTTACAAAGATACATCATTAATAACAGAAATACATATTTACATTATGGAATTTCTATTGTTAATTTTCTTCTCTGATCTTAAAAAAGTTTTAAGTCCTAATCATTGATTTAGTAAACGTTTTGATGGCACTGATATTTATAAAACATTTGTAAAATAAGTCACAAATATGAAACATTTTATAAGTACAGTGCAAAACAATAAAAGAATCACAATGAATAACTTAAAATTCATGAAACTGTTTTTCACATACTAGGACTCAATCTTAATAGTTTGAGGGATGACCTCAAATATGCAAATTAGCTAGTGCAGATATTTTAAATTAAGAAATCAGCCAAAAAAATGTACCATCTCTGAATAGACAAATTTTTTCTCCTAAGGATTTGGATTTCTGACTCAAAATATAAGGAGTAGATGCAATCTGAAAATTATGGTCCTAACAGTTTGGCTAGGAGAGCTGTCAAAAGTTTACACTCCTTAATGTTATTTTACTTTTTGCATCTTAGCGAACTTTTTATCAAATAAACAAGTTTTTGCACATAATTATAAAATTTATTTATCCCATGCAGAATAAGCTCTTGATAAATCTTAATCATTATTATTGACAGTCAAAACAATTTTGAAATGTATGCAAATTTTTAAATTATTTCAAAGAATTTAATTTTACATGGCAAAATACATCCATAAATACATGGCAAAATAAATCCGTTGAATTAAAATCTATTACATTTTAAAATTTTTCAACAATTATTAAATTAAATAATAGTTATAAAAAATTTTGATTTTGAAAAGTAACTAATAGGATCATATTCCCCACATAGTGGCATAATATTTCGGGGGTCAGAAATCATAATCCGTCTAAAAATGATATGCTTATTAGGAGAAAGTACATTTTTGTAGATGATTTCGCAAATTAAAATATCGTATGCACTGAGTCCAAGTATATAAAAATTCAATCATTAAATAAAAAGTTATTCAGAGCGATTTGTTTTAATATTGCACATTCCGCATAAAGATAATGTATTATTTTTAAAAGAAAAAGAAAATTTTTGGATTTCAAAATTTTATTAAAAAATTAAAACTATACAAAACAGCCTATTTTTATTGTGCTATATCATGTTTTAGCACTTTTTTGTCCCATCCACAAGACACTAAATCATTTTCTAAGCTCCAGGCAAGTCCTCGAACAAAGTCATCATGAACATCACTTTTACATCTAAAAGAAGGAAAAAAAAATTTATACTTTTTAGCAAATATTTAAAGAAAAACTAAACTCATTTAAAATACCAATGACTTTTAAAACCATATTGTAAACATAGCAAAACAAATAAAAGCCATTTAATTTCATCAAATATCACAATTTAAGATTATTAGCTCAACTCGTTACTCCTCCCCATACCTAAAAAAAATCAGAAGAATCTTCAAATAAGGCATACTTTTTGAAAGAGGCAAGTAAAAATTATTTTAAAAATTTATTTATTACATAAATAAAAATTAAAACTTCTAGCTTTTAATTTACATCTGAAAATACTGTAATGATTTTAAAATGATTTGTTTTTATTTAAGTAAGGCACAAAAAATTAAATTATTTAATGCAAGTAAATATAACAGGATGTAAAACTAAACTTAAAGGATAATTTTTTTTATTTGTTATAAGGAATTTTAACTCTTGCCCTATTTTGTCATAATAGTAACTATTTTTGCTAAAATATAATTAAAATACTAACTATAATGTAAGTTTTTCTTTCTAATTTAAAGTAGTTTTTTGGAGCAATACACTTAATTATAGTTTCACAGATTTGGAAATATACTATCTTACTAATATTAAAATTTTAAACGTTTCACATGAACAAGTTTTTGGAAAAAGCTTTATTACACAAACAAGTAATCTAATCAGTAAAAGTTTAAATATACTTATACATTAAATAGTTTATCATAACTTCTTCAGGAAAAAATCAAATTAATAACTGAAATTACAGTTATTAACATTTTGGTTTATAATTAAAATCTCATCATTTTGCAATTTTAATTTATGTGAAACACTAAACTATTTCTTTCGTTACTAAAACTTTGTTTTCAATTTTTTACAATTCAATTTTGTTAGGCTTTTTTTCTATGAAAAAAGTATTAAAGCTACTCACAAAACAAGTGGATTGTCCCCTTCAACATTCGTCACACAGACATCAGTATCATCAGCACAAGATGCAAGATATAATTTACTGAAAACAAAAATATATATATTCATAAATATCGGCTTTCAATCTAAAATAACTACAGTTATGTTCCTAGGCATTCTCAGAAGGATGGCTTGCCCTACCTGTCCTTTGATCCCAATAAATGGGCCCTTTTTGTAAAAATAAGTTCCATTTTGAAAGAAAAAAAAAATTAACACTAGTAAAATTATCTGTAATAGGTTTAATAGGAGGTTGTAAATCTGTTTATAGGTTTAATTCTGATTACTATTACGAACATTAACCTTGTTAGGATTATTTTCAACTGGTAAAATTTTTAGAGGTATCTTTTGGGGGGGGGGGGATATTAATACATTTTTAAATGTTCATTTTCTTACAATTTTCCATTTAAATTATAGAGAAAAGCTTTCAAGTTATTTATCAATGAATAATTTGTTAGTTTACATTTTTCGAAAAAAAAAAAAAAAAAACTATGCAGAGATTGCGTTTAATTATTCTTTATAAACTACAATTTTTTTTTCTTATCCTGATAATGAGAGAGAATTATTTTTTAAAATATACACATAAAATAGTATAAGAGGGTAATTTAAAAATGTTTGCCAATAAAATTCAATTACATTAATATTACACGTTTTGAGAAATTTTTTACGGTGTTAAAGCTCAGTCTGCCCTTTTTACTCTGCGGGAGAACTCTGATATCTATATTGATAAATTACAGATAATGGATTTTTGCAACATTCTCCTTAAACTCAAATGTCAACTGTGAAAAAGTGCAAAACTAAATGTGGACACTAATGGCGAAAAAAATTATGAAGTCATTACTGAAATACTAAATTCACAGGTCACAATCACATAGTTGTAAAGATATCAAGGTATAAATGGGCAGAAATAGAAAAATCACATGAATTAATGAGAAAATTGGTGGAAAGATTATAAATTAAAACGATATGTATTAATAATCTTTAAAAAACCAATTAACCAGAAATTCTAGCACAAATGAGAAAAGCTTAGAACGATAAATTCTTTTCAAAATCAGTATAATTTGTAGCATTACATGGATTGGAAGAACAGGATGTCTCAAGTGCTGTAAGATTTCTGTTTAAAAGTGTGAAGGGAATATTTTTATGTCTTAGTAGTTTAGTGATCAAAATTTCTTGTAAAATATTTCATAAAATTTTGATTTATGTAAAGTTAATATAATATGTACATTAAATTACTTTTATTTTTAGTTATTTAATATCTTTAGAAATAAGAGGGATAATCTTAAGTTCTTGGTTTTTATGTTGCATTTTATAGAATCAATTTGGAGTTTAACTTGTTTTGATTTAAGGTAAGTAGGTACTTTATTTATGTCACACTAGAGCTGCACAATGGACTATTGGCGACGATCTGGGAAATATCCCTGAGGATGATCCGAAGACACGCCTTTGCAATTTTGATCCTCAACAGAGGGGATGGCTCCCCTGCTTTGGTGCCTAACGATCTGCATGCATAGTCGAGCACTTAACGGTTTAACGAGGAGCGCTACTGTGCATCCTCGGTCCCAACACAGGCTGATCAAACTAGTCACCCACCCGCCTACTGACCGCAGCCAGTGATGCTTCACTGCAGAATTCTACTGGGAACCAAGTCTTTATGATCAGTCCACTGCAGGACTCTTTTGATTTTAAAGAAAAAAAAATTAATTTATGAAAGAGAATCATGTAAAAATGGCAGAGTTTCGTAAGATGCAGTTCATATTTTGAAAAAAAAAATATATATATATAATAAATGCAGATACAGTGAAAGTTTACTAAAAAAAAACGTGTTGTTGTTGTTTCTTATCCTCCATCTGTCTGACGGAATCGGACAGGATCCAATAGGTTGTTGACCCTCAAAAAGTCGATGACAAGAAGTGGAGTAGCGTATAAGTTTTCCTTGGAAAGTCCCAAGCAGTCAAGGATATGTTTGGCAGAGGCCTGCTGGGCTTCACGTTTGGAGCAGACTGCATAAGTCTTTCTTCCTTCGAAGTACGAGAGACTATTCGTGTGTCCACTTGCCAATCTGGCAATTGCTGTTTGAGACGCTCTATCACCTATATGAGCAAGTGAAGAGCCCGGTTCCTTGGCCGCATACCAGTTATGAGAGGGGGGATCCTCCACTTTTTTGATAGATGGTTTTTGATTTTGGACTGATTCTCTGAGTAGGTAAGGGCTGAGGACGAAGGTGTTGAATGACTACAGCCCTCCTTGGCCAAGCGATCCGCTTGCTCATTGCCAAAAATGTCAACGTGGGATGAAAAAAAATGGGTGAATGGGTTAAGAAAGTTTACTCAAAAAACTCCATTAAAATGTTGTCTCCTTTTAGATAGTTTGTATTCTCATAACCATTTTATTTCCTTCTTCTACAACAATAACCTAAACTTTTCTCAAAATTTTTTTAAAACTTCTTTTCAATAAAGTTTTATCTTTTCAAAATACCTACTTACTTTCAAAACATAGGAAATCAGCAGAAACAAAATGCATACAAAAGTCTTTAGAAATTAAATTGTGGCAAAAACTAAATAATTTATAGAAAAAACTAATACGCCCAGAACCATATCTTATTCTATAGAAGGAACTTCTTACCACTGATATGAAAAATTAGCTTTAGAACATATTTCATTTTAATTAAATGTCCGAGTCAGATAAACATGTAAGTTAAAATTATGACTCAATACAAGTGAAACAAAATGATGCAAACAAGAACTTTTGTAAATCAATTTTATATTATACATTTCTGATTTTTTAAAGTATAATTTTAGCACATCTCTGCCTTCAAGTCTTTTTCTGGCTCATGAAAAACTTTTTCAATGGGTTTTAGCGTACTTACCTACAATTCTCTCAAAGAAGTTCCATTTTATCAATAATATAGCCAGATATATGTTTAACAGAAAACTTGCCAACCCCTAGTTATAAAAATTCAGATTGCCACTGCATGTTAATTTATAAAAAAAGCCAATTTCAATTATATATTATTTCATTAATCCATTATAATATATAATGAGCCTAAATAAAAGAAAAAACTCACAGCTTAGTGGGCTCTCCAAGGCTGCTACAAGAGCAGCCAGTGACGTCTGAATCAAAGAAAATACAACCTATCAAGCAGGTAAAAATGCAGAAAGTCTTATCTTCGGCACAATGTGGAAGAGTTGGCAGCTATGAACTTGATATAAATTAAGTACATTATATTATTTAGTAATGAAATTAATTACCTTTTTGAAAAAGACATTTTAAATATACGCCTCTTGTGAGCATCCCAAGAGCTCAAGCAACTACCACTAAGTCTTAAGTCTTTTATTGCAATTACACCACTTTCATCTCCAACAGCAAAAAGATTATCACTTAATGGTTTCCAGCAGACTGCTGTTGTACTGCATTTAAAAGGATATGTATCTATAAATAAAATAATGAAGACTCAATTTAGCAAAATGCAATTTAAGTGACAAAACTATACAATGTGAAATGCTTAAATAATTCCCCTTTAATAATTTAATTTACTACTTTATCAATAGAAACATTACCATGCAAAATTCAGATAAATTAGATTACTGAACACATAACAGGCAATAAATTAAGAAAAGGATATATAAGAACAAAATTTTGTTAAAGAATGATTGTCATACTCAAATGACTACTTCTGTTACCACAGTGCACAACTTATTTGTATTAAGTTATCATAAATTTAAAAAAAAAAAAAAACTTTATTTGATAACAAAATATGCACACTGACTTAATAATAATGTTTACTAGAGTAAAAAATCTAAACCATAAAATACTGATTAAGACCCAACCCAAATTTTGGTAAAAATCGCTGCAAAGTGGGTGAAGGTGTAAACAGAAGCAAGGAAAAATTACAAAATTTACACGAAAATTGAACATATTCAATAAAGTGGAATTTTATTTAATTTAATTAAGCATAAATCAAATAAACTACAATTAATAACAAATAAATAAATATGATGAATTTTTTTCCTTCACTTTTATGCACAAATAGAATCCTTTTAGAGATATAACATTCTCAGTAGTTATTAAGAAATATAGAACATTGAATATTTGTAATAGGTGAATAACATTACATTGGATTATATTAGGGTGTTCAAAAGGTAGTTTTTTTTTATAAAAATGAAAGAGGTTTGATAGTGAATAAATATTTATTTGATTATATACTGCCAAACCAGGTCAATATCTTTTGCCATCTTTTTGGCAGTAGTACACTCATAAAACTTTGCAAAAAACTGAACCAGGCAATCTCATTTGAAGTAAAGGTTTTATTGCCTAAAAATTCTGTTGAAACCAGAACACGTGATAACCATAAGGTGCAAGATAGGGAGAATATGGTGGGTGTGGTAATATATTTCATCTAAGTTGTGAAAACTTTTGGACAAACTGTTTTTGCTGCCAAGACAAAAAGTGTATAAGGTCTTGCATTATCTTAGCGGAACACTACATCTTTTTTATTGCTCAATTTGTCCAGCTCATGACTGTGCCTTTCAGAATTGATCATTGCTTTCTCCTGTAGAAGCCTTAAAAAATAATTTTTTTTTGAAGTTCCAGTGAACAGATTGTATTAACCTTTGGCTTTCCTAGTGGTTTGCACTGGTTCATCTTCTTTATCTCTTGCATTTAATATTGTTGTAGATAACTCATTTCTCATCCCTAGTGATGATGCAATGGCAATACTTTTTTCCCACAAGAACATGAGGTGCCCATACATCAAGCTTTGAGTTTAAACCAAAGTGTTTCAATTTATCATGAATGTCTATTGTCCAGTTTTAACTAGATAGCTCAACAGCTTTGACCTTCAACATCAAAATTGACATATCGAAATTTCCCAAGCCTGTTATGGCACCGGCGCTAGTCAATACATCTTCTCTATGTATATTAGGGAATTTTGATAATTGAAAGGATACCAACCAAAAACTACTGAATAGAATCAATCAAACTTTTCTAAAGCAAGCCTTGCAGCTGTCAAAATATATAATGCTTATGCTGTTTAAGAGTGAAGTTTGCTGAGAAAAAATATAATTAAATCCTCTGTTGAAAAAAATTAAATTACTTTCCGAATAACTCAATATAATATTAAAGATTCATTAGGAAAATATGAAAAAACTTACCTATAAGAGTTGCTGGTTTAGGCAGTCTAATATCAAATAACACTATTTTGCTATCCTAAAGAGAACAACAACAAAAATAATAATACATATTTGAACAACAAATAATATTTTACTACAAAAATAATTTTTGTTATAAAGTCATGAAATAATGCACAACATAAAGCAACCACAATAATGTAGACAAAAAAAAAAAAAAATTAAATTTCACAGCTAGCTTAAAAACTTTTTCAAAATCAATTTCAATAATTAAAAAAAACAAAAAAAAACAACAGATATTTTAGCATTTCAAAGCTATCAATACAAAAAATATTATATTAACATTGAATAATATTAATATTGACATAAAAATATCAATAACAGTTAAGTCTTTTTTTATGAGCTAGGGATGAAATTTAGTATATTAACTTCTTAGACTTAAAGCAATGAGAAAAACTTATCACTATTTTTAAAGCTTATTAAAAAGAGCATAAAAATAATAAAATTAATACTATGAAATTTTTTTTCAATTATTAAAAAAAAAATCACAAAAACATTAGCAGGAAAATTTTAAAGCAAAGCAACACAATATCAATCTGAGTTTAAGAAGATTCAAATCTTTTACTTTTTAAATTAACTTATAAATATAGTAAAAAATAAAATAATTTTTCATAAGCTATAATCTAAAAAACTGCTGTAAATTGATTTTATTAATTAATGCAGCATATATAAGTTATGCTCATTAACAAAATATTATACATGGAATTATTTGATGATATATAATTTACGATACATAAAGATTTTAATTTTGAAATAAAATGACATTCTTCTTAATAAACTAAGCATTAACTGAGTTTTTGTTGACTGACATAAAAACTGAATCAATTCCATAGATATAAAGATAATTTGTGACTCAGATTCAAAACAGGCTGAACATGCTAATCATAAGGTCCTAACAGTATAGAGATGTTAAACATGTTTTATATCAAAACATCTTTAATAAAAAGAGGTAAAAAATAACTTTAATGATAATGTTAATACAAAACAGCTGACAAAGATATATATTACAGACATTACAGTTTGATAAATGAAGGTATTCTTCTACTAGTAGATTTAAATTTACTTTCAAACTAAAACTTGCTTGTTACTACTATTATAACATCACATTTTAATTAACTCAAGCACAAAAATTAACACAAAGAGGCTCCAAAAAGAAATATGATTCAAACGAACTAATTTATCTAAATTTATTATTAACAGAGATAATAAACTACGAAATCAAAAATAAATATATAAATTTCCAAAAAATGGTTCTTTCATATTTGAAAAAACTTACAGCACTTAAAAATAATATTTTAATATTATGTAATTACAATTCAAGATAATATTTCAATCTAAAAAGAGGGAGAAAAAATAAGGAAACTTAAAGAGTGCATTTATATTAACATAAAAATGATAGTATTTGAAAAGAGAATTATTAAAAAAAAAAAGCATTTTTCAAAACAGAAACATACCAAAATATAATGCAAAAATAGTGAAATAAAAATAAAACTTATGTATAAAAAGTTGATTAATGAAATTAAAAGAAGGGAATTATGTTTAGAGGACAAGTTTAAATTGGCTTTATTTTTTAACAGTTAACTGCAGTAAAGAATAAATTAAATGTGTATTAGCCTTTCGTTTTTTTTTTTCATGTAAAAAGATAAAACTAAAGACAGTTTATTTATAAGAGTTTTTGTAGTTATTTTCAAATTAAATTTAATATTTAAAACATCTATCGTTTTTTGTAAGGAAAGATAAGAATTAGAAGGAAAACTTACCTGTCCACATGTAACAAAAATATTAGGGTCTGTTGTAGAACAAGACACTTGCCAAACTATGCCTCCATGAACTAAAAAACAAACAAATACTTAACCATGAAATGTAAAATAGAAAAAAGGACTTAAAAAAAAAAAAAATTCTCTTCCACAAACATATATANAAGACTAAAGCGTAATTGCTGACAAATTAAATAATTACTAATTGTATATATATATATATATACAAATACACAAATTAATTGTTCTATTTAACATGAACTAAATAAGTACTACTTAAAAAATTATTTATAAAATATAACATTCTAAACATCTGTTACTATCTGCTTCTTACTATTCTTGATAATTATTAAATATCAGTTAATAAAGATTTTTTGTTGTTTGATTCTTAAAAGCTGAAAATGTGGTAAATTTTAACACAAAGTCACAAAACTTATGAGAATTGGTCCAGAATTTCTGCGAAAAAGATTAAAAGTTTTTATAAGAATAACCTCATAAAAGTTTCTCACAATAAGATCAGACATGTGAATGCTGGGAGAAGAAATTATCTGAAATTCTTTTTCGCCAAGACAAAAACATGGATTTATGATGGTAGCGAATGTCTCGAAAAGTGATTATTGAAATGTGCGATTCGAATTTTAAATGTTGTTACATCATATTAAAAATTAATTCAATCTAATTGTAACCAAATAAAATATGGGGCAAATGTATCATTGATTAATTAACTATTCTGTTACAAATCTGAATTTGCAACAAAATTGTTACCGAATGAAATGTAAAGAAGGTGCGGGTGAGAGTGGAATAAATGTCTCATCAACAAGTTTTTGCACAAGTAACCAAATTTGAATTTTAGATACTCCCAGAAAATTTTGTCCAAACATAAATTATTGATTGGCGAAAATCTATGAATCAATGATATTGAGATTTGTGGAATTCTGCAAATTAGCAGAAGAATCACGCATCAAAAGACAATTAAGTTGGGAAAGAAATATGATCAAGAAGTTACATTTTAAGAGTAGTGAAATATTTTGTGTCCTACTTTTGATGAAATTTGTTTTTCAGATTTAACTACTTACTTACTTGGTCTGTAGGTTGATGTGGTGGCCATAGTTACTAAATCCCAAACTTTACCACTATAAAAGAGAGAAAAAAAAAAAGGAGTTTTAAAATAATGCACTACATTATGTTTTTAAAAAAAATAGATTTTAAGATGTATACAAAACTTTTTAAGTAAAAATGTTGCTTCAGCAAGTTCTAAATAACAGGCATTACTAAGAGATTTTCTTAAATTTAATACAAAACTTTCACAAAAGACAAAAATACAGTAGGGAACCGATTATCCGGAACGATCCGGTTAACCATCGCTATTCCGGATAACTGATTTTTCCGGTTTTCTGAATCGCTACAAAAAGCCGTTTTTTTTTAATTATTAAACACAACTAAAAAAATTTTTTTTTTTTGGAAATAATCTTAAAAAGAAGAAAAAACGATGGAGCAATACACTAATGATTATTTCCAAAATAAGGTAAACATCTTTAAAAAAAGAACGAAAAATCCTAAAATTTTATAAGGAAATTTTTTTTTTATAATGGTGGGAAAATTTATCGAATTTCATTCCGGTTTTTTGGTTTTCCGATTTCCGGATAACGGGTTCTGTACTGTAGTTTATTTCCTTCCCTCAGTAATTTTTTCTAGTATTTTAACAGATGAGTTACATTATTTCTTACACAGTAAAAATTTATTTAGATAAAAAAAAAAAAAAATTATTATATAAGATTTTTACCAAAAATAAATAAATAATCACATAAAATTTTGTATGTATAAAAGATAGGGCAGTGTTTTCACTACAGCGCGAGAACGCGAGAATCTCGCATATTTTTTTCTTTTCTCACATTAAAAAATGATTACCGCGAGAAATTCGCGCATTCTATAAATAAATGTCAAAATTCGCGAATTTCTCACACTTTGGAAAAAGCTTCGAACTACGCCATTTAGAATAAAATCCGTTTCACTTTTCTTCCTGGATCTTTCATTATTTTCAACATCTGCCCAGTTATCTAGCTTCTCTATTTACCAGTATTGTTCAGAACCTTTTCGAACAACAGAACACAACCACGGAACCCCTTTCAGAACGCATTTCTCTGTAACCACGCGTTTACCGTAGGTAAGGTTTCTTCATGTAAGACATTCAAATTTTTTATGTGCTAATGTAAGATGGACAAATACCTTGTAAAGGCAAAATCTTCTATGATGATGCACCAAAAATATTCAATGCTTTTAAAAATAGAAGAAGTTAAAAATGTATTATAATTAAAGAAATGATTTTTTTCAAGAGTTTTTGTGTTTTTTTAGTTTTTAGAAATCTCACTTAACTTTTTGAAATCTCACCCTGTTTTTGAGAAAGGGTGAGAAATTCTCACCCATTTTTTTTCTATGATGAAAACACTGTAGGGTCAAGTGGGGTAAAGTGGAAATAAAATCATACTTATTTTTTAAAGGCTCTAAAATCAAAACTAAAGCCTTTGATGCAATTTATAAACATTCATTAAGATTTGTGAGGTATAACTCATCTATTTTGTTTGACTATTTTCGTACGGTAATGCATTCAAATGAGCAAGTTTTGATATACACACTCTATCCCAGAGTGTGGTAAAGTCTGTTCTGAAACTAGTATAAATTTTGCTAAAAAACACATGTTAAGATTCTTTTAGAAATAAAACTGCTCATATCACAATTATATATTTTTTTTAAAAAAACTAAATTATTCCCAAATTATTAAGAGTTAATGTTCATGGCTGTCAAAATTAGGTTTCACTTCGGATGCAGTATATTTTACTGAAAATTTCATTAAAAAGCAAATAAAGTGTAAGAGTTTTTCAATTATTTGAAATATGAATGAGAGTGTAAAAAATATTTAAAATGGTAATTTAACGTGTTTTTACTATGTATAGCAGACACGTATTTTTGTTGAATTTAGTTACTTTAAGGAAATAATTTGTGTTTTTAATGAAAAAAAAAAAATTTATTAAAGTAATCAAATATCACACACACACAGATGTAAAAATTTTTTTTTTTGCAAATAAAAATGTTAAATGGCTTTATATGACTACTATCTTTTATTCTTAAACTTGAAATTAATGAGATAATTTCTGTTAAGATAAATTATTTATGAAAATCATAAAGGACAATAAATCACCTACTTATTACATTACCAGTAACTTTAACGATTTAAAGTCAATGAAATTTAATATATTTTTTTCTTCGCATGAATACTTTCAAAACTATTTATTTTACAATGTCTATGAACATTTTTTATGACACTCTAAAGCAGTGAAAAAGTGTAGGCATACGTATCATATAAATTATATTTACTTACGTACGCATAAGGTTTCATGAGGAAAACAAGTTTTAAAAATTTTTGCTATGTAAGAAACTGTTATAAGAATTTATACTAATAATTTTAAAATTACAATAAATATAACGTATCAAACAAATTTATCAAATAGAATACATAAAATTCATTGGCTTTTTATAATGACATTCTATTTTTTATAAAGCAGTTATTCTCCAATTTTTCTTTATTTGTCACTGCACACTTTTAATGATTTCGAAATTTGACGGCACAAAGAAAAAAAAGAAGTTTAAAAGTAGTTTATTTAACCTATAATGCAATACCGTGTGAAATATACTTTGTAAATATATACTGTGTAATAATATAATACTGTGTAAAATAGTTTATGACAATTATTTTGAATTTGAAAGAAAATATGTACTATAAAAGCAGTACATTTATTAAGGGCTTAATTAAGAGTTAACAGTTATTTTGCTTTTTTTTGCTATTTATTAATTGTTAGTTTTTTTTACATTGTAATTTTTTAGTGATTCCTTGTTAACTTGATTTTTTTTTATAGTTAACCTTTGTTGATTTGTTTATATAAGTATTAATAGCGTAGCTAATTTAAATTGTTAGCTTTTTTCCTCTGTAAGTTAATATTTATCTTTCTTTCTTTTGTTAATTAATAATTTTAATAGTCATTAAATTTCCAACTCATTTCAAAGTTGCCAGTGACAGGACTATTGCCATCAAAGATCACTGGTGAGAATCACTGATTTAAAGGTTTAAAAATTAAAATGAGGAATAAATCTTAGCAAAATAATTACCATTTATCAGCACCAACACTGACTAAACTAGATTTGTTCGAGTTAAGGCTAAGAGAAGTTATCGAGTCATCATGCTCTAATGCACCAAGCGTCCACTTAAATTCTTCAGGTTCATCTTCTAGCTTATATACTTCTAGACAACCTATATTAAGAAGGAAAAAAAATTTAATTGGAAGAAAAACTAGAAATAAAGACATTTTTTAATTAATTTTTCTTGCCTGTATATATTACCAAGAAAAATGCCCAATAAAATAAATAATAACAATTTATAAGTTACGAATACTATAAGCTGTATGATTATAAAAGCTCAGATTAGATCTTTTGTATAAAAAATACAAACAAAATTAAATAATTTAAGAAATAAATTACATAACATGCTTTATTTAAGATTTATCAAAATATTTCAATGACATTTTACTGCTCAAATACATTTACATTTTACAATAACATTTAAAATTCATTAATAATTTCAACCATTTATAATTTTGGAAGAATAATTAATTATTGCCTGTTCACCACTGAATAAGCAGTAGACAAATTAATGGGGGTTGCTATGAAAACAGGTCATTCTGCTTTATTGAAAGTAAAAACTGTTTAGTCATTAACGTGTTTCCATTGTAATTACAAAGTTCAATGTCAAAAGCACATCTTGCGGTGGACAATCAATTTAAATGAATTATAAAAAGGAATGCACTAGTCAATTATCCTTATAAAGTATTGTAATTGTATTTTTGTACACCCTTTTATATTTGTCTGACTTAAATCTTGCAACAGTTAAGGGTGGCAAAGAATTACATTGATTCCTTTTAAATCATCAAAGTAAAAAACAATAAAATTTTTGTTAGGTAATAAAATAATTTTAAATACCTAACACATGAAAACCAAATCTTTTTGTCTTTCCATAAAAAATTACTGAATTCCTTACAAACAAACAAAAAAAAATACCATTTCATAACACATGAATACAGTGTAATGACAAATGATAAACATAAAAACCTATAATCAAATAAATATATTTTTGATATCAACTGGTAAAGCAATTCTAAAATAAACAAACAAATAAATTAAAAAAGTAAAACAAAATAAACACTTATATAAAAAACAATTTTTACTCAAAAATTACTGAAAAATCATATGCCTATGGAAAAACTAAAATATTTCATGGACTAGAAGAATTTTTGATTAATTGATCTTTTATTTACACACATAGAAAATGTTACCTGAATCAAGTCCAAGGACAACTCTTTTATCATCTAAACAAACCAAATCACAAATGCCAGAAGATACTTCTATACCAGTAGAACATTTTTCTACGTCTGGAGCATCATCAATCGTTTTAAAGCACCACAAAGATCCATTCCAGTATCTTCCCGTCAAATTTGAAGATCCAAATATTAATTTACCATCTACAAATAAGCTCATTTGTTAATAATCATAACAATGTTAATCAAAATAACATTAAACTTTAAATTTAATAAATAACTAACTGTGATATTAAAATAGAAGTACACATAATGTTTGAAAAAAAAAAATTATAATTGAGTGTATAACAGCTCTAGTAAGCCCAATCTTTATATCAATGAACCTTTTTCATAATAAACTAAGGAACAACTTAACTGTTCCTTCGTTCATTAATAAAAATATAAATTTACTTTGAAGATTAAGTAACAGCATATTATATATTTGCAAACTAAATGTACTATACATTCCACAATATATGTATAGAAAATTAGCTTCATATGTATATTGCTTTCACTACATAAAATAAAGTAAAGAATTACTTTGTAATGAACTCAATTAAAGCAAGTTTTTAACCTTTTCTTGCAGAAATATAATTTGATTATTTTTTTCCTTCACTTTATCAGGATGGTCACAAAAAGTAAAGGAGTAAAAAAAATCCCTAATTTCCTCAGATTGATTTTATAATTTTCAGGATTTTTGTAACTGGTGGCATGAATTTTAATATTAGTTTTTTAATTCTGCTTTATTTTTAAACGTAAATTGTATTACAAAGCACTGATATTTGTTGTGCTAATGACATCAGAGTTGAAAATAAACAATAACTATTTAAAAAAAAAAAAAAATTATAACAGGACCAAATTTTCTTGGTAAAAAATAGACCTAAGGTTCCTCAAATTAAAATTTATTTATTTTCCATTACGTTAAGGTATAACATTAAATTATCTGTTTTCACAGTGTTGATAAAAGTCTCTGACATCTCCCTGTTTTGTGGCTATCCTCTACACATAAAATATTTACCTTTTTTTCTTAAATACAATAAATTTTGAAAAAGTAATAAATTTTGATAATTAATAAATTTAAATAGTTCGTTAAAAATCATATTGCTTAGTGAGTTAATTATTTTGGACACTCAAATTGGTACTTCTAGTATTTTAAAATTTTACTGCAATAACTCTTACATTGAAATTACTTGGAATAAAAATTATGAAGATTTCTAATTAAATTTATGAAGTCTTTGTTTTATCATTTAGTGGTAGTTCTAAGTTGTTAGAAATACAGTAGGGAACCGATTATCCGGAACGATCGGGACCATTGCGATTCCGGATAACTGATTTTTCCGGTTTTCTGAATCGCTACAAAAAGCTGTATTTTTTATTGTTAAACCCAACTTAGAAAAAAATAATATTTGGAAATAATCTTAAAAAGAAGAAAAAACGATGAAGTAATACACTAATGATTATTTCCAAAATGAGGGTAAGGTAAACATCTTTCAAAAAAGAAAGAAAAATCCTAAAATCTTATGAGGAAAAAATTTTTTTTTATAAAAAAAATGGAGGGAAAATTTATCAAATTTCGTTCCGGTGTTTTGGTTTTCCGGATAACGGGTTCTGTACTGTACTTCAAATCTTTTCTATCTATCCCCATAGTTGGAAAGCAGAGAATTTGAAAAGCATATGGATGGAATGATACAACTTCTTAGAAAAATAGCTTAAAAGAAAAGGATTTCTATATTTTCTTAATATTGTATAGTTAAAAAAAAGGGTAGTGAGGGATCATTAGAGTAATTCGAGCAATTGTAAATTTTTCAACATGCTTTGTAAAGAATTCTCCAATATTTTGGAGCTTTCCTTAGTTAATTGAGGATACAGGTTAAATTTCATTATTTTCGGTGAAAAGTTGATAGCTAAGCAAGGAATAGCAGAGGGATGGTTAAGCAAGCAAAATTTTGATGTAACATTAAGTGATAAAGTAGCTTCCACATTTAGGTTTGACATTCTCTAGAATTGAATATAACATGAGAATTCCTGCTGTTTTTACATGGTTACATTTCAAGCGATTTTAATAGCCTTATTTTATTATATTACAATATAAAATAAGTAAACACATTATCAGTGAAATACGTTTATTGTTAAAGACCATTATTATGAAGAAAAAAAAAGTTTTACATAAGCGAGTCTTAAGAACAGAACAAATTTGGGAATGTGTAACATCGTCAAATGCAGATATTCCCAACACTAGATACATAAAAAATATGAAATGTTATTACAAATCTGCCATTAATTAAATTTAAAAAATTTATTGAAAAAAAAAATCGGTACAATAAAAGATGAAACATAATTTTAAGGCTTTCCTCACAAACGTGACTTACCAGTTGTAAAATCAATGGCATCTAAATGGTTTTCAACCATAGCAGGAATGCTTGATGACATTTCTAATTATTTAATAAGCTCAAATACAAAAAAGGAAAGTAATAAATTATTTTTCAGTTCGGAAAAGGAATTTTACATAATGCTAAATGCACCACTAATTACTAATGTTTTGATTCTTACAGGCGCAATTTTTTTGATTGGAAAATATTTCATTGCCAACATTGAAAATGTAACAAACGTTTGTTATATTAAATATTAAATTTAAAAAAAAATGATTTAGAGGATTTGAATATTTAGGAGTCTTAATGATCTGATATTTTTCATTTTTATTCAAGTGTTTAGAAGAGTTTATATGAAAACTAATTAATTAAGTCGACAGTTTATTCTTTTAACTGTAATTTTGGCAAATGGATTTTGATGATTTGTTTTGGTTTATAAATTGAGTTCTGTTTTTCTATGAATTATTAAAAATGAAAATGGTTATCAATTTATCTTCCTGTGCCTTGTTTCTATTTACTATATCATTCATTAGTACTATCACTTACGTAGGTTGAAAATTTGTTTTTCATTTTTTTAGGTTTTGTATTAAAATATTTGTTAAATATGGGTATAAAATAAAATTTCATTACCATCTATTCTGCTTGTATATATTTACGATTATGAAAGATATAAATAAATTTGTTTTTGAAACAAGAAATAAAATGAGCCTAGGGATTTACTGAAAATATATAAATTATCATTTGCTTGATTATAAGCAAAAACAGTTCCTTATGGGCATTTAATTATAATGATTTCTATCATATAATTTTTAATTATTGTATGAATCTCAAATTCATTTTAAATTGCTGAAATTTCTGTGTGTATTTCTTCTATCCTATATAAAGTATTAAATAAGTCATAGTTAAAGAGTCTGAGCCAAATCTCATTGCCGTTAAAGAATGCTGGTTTGGCTTTGTTAGGATTATAAACTAAATTTATGTAGGCAGAGAGACCCTAACAAGTTGAGTTACTTTCGTGAAATTTATCATTATATAAAAGTTGGATATTTGCCTGCGAGAAACTAAAAAAATAATAAAAAAATCACAGAAAGGGACCAGGGGATATTTTCCTATGATGATCTATTGCACCAACTACAGTCGCCAAGGTGCCAGATTATGGGTCTGTCCAAGCCAAATTTACTACCGTTTAGCGGTACCTTCACAAATTCATCTTTAGAAAAAACAGTAAAATAATTTCACAAAATACTTTTTCTTAAAATTTTATTTTTGTCTCTCGTAAGAAACGTTACATCCATATTTTTGCGTTCATTTTTAAATATAATTTTTAATTTTCACAAATTATGTCTAAATTTTCACAAAATAGATACCCCCCAGAAAAACCTAGACAGACCCCTGCAAATAGATTTTAAACTTTCAATTAAAAAATCATGTAAATATTTGCCCTGGGGTGGCTATAAGTTATACCTTTCAAATTGGATGCTTTCTATGGTGTATTTTTTTAGTTTCTCACTGGCCACTGCCCGGAAGTTGCCAAGTCTTGGCTATTATTCTGCCACAGATCAGGATACAGAAATCTCCCCTAAGTTTAAAATATATTTTTCGTCTTAGTGATTGTACTTGTCACTAGGCATGACCATGATAGGGAAACCGTCACAAACCATGATAGGGAAATATCCTTGAATTCTGTTTTGTAAAACTTACAATTTTATTAACATGAAATGAGATTAGAAATCTAAAAGGCAAAGTAAAAATGATCGTAATTGTATATTAGAAAAATTTAAATTTTTTTATTTAACTTTCTAAAAATGAATTTTTGCTTAGTCCTTAAAATCATAATGATAAATATAAGAAATTAGTAATTATCAATACATGCTGTTGTATTTTACTGTATACTTTCTTTAAATTATCTATCATTGCTGGTATTAAATTTGAATTATACAGTGACTTTGCTTGCGTGCTATAGCGTGTCAGATACACGAAATCTCTTAGGGAGATGCAAAATAAAAGTTATGATGTGTCCTGTAGCATGCATAATTTTCACTCTAAATAGCTTGAAAATAATAGTAGTAGTAACATTTTTTTGTGAAATAAGTGGTAAATAAAACTTATTGCAAATAATCTATTATTTGATTATAGTATATCTTTATGGAAACTGGATCATATCTATGGATCAGGACCTACTTTATCCTATTTATAGTAAAATATTTAAAATAATTTAATCAGCGTTATGACCGTTATGAATTATTACTTTTTAAAATTAATATAGTGTGTCTTATTTTTTATAAAGATGATATGATACTTGATTTTGAATTTTTATATGATGGGCGATTTTTCTGTTAATTCTTCGTTAAATGATTGCTGATTAAATTATTAATCATATTTTTTTTCTTAATCGTCAAAATATTATTATGAATTATAAAAATAAGTGGGATATTTATATAATTTTAAATAGAAACCCACTTTTTTTAGAAAAGTGGACAGAATTTGATAAATTCTGGGTCGGAAAGACCTGCAATTTGAAAAGTCTTGCGAAATCACTATTATAAAAATGTTTTTTTCCTTTTTTTTCAATGTTCTATTTGAAGTCAATAATTCCAATGCAATTTAGTTATCCAATAAATTATATTTGTTTAGGTAATCTGCAATTTTTTTATTGCATTTTGCTGAAATCAATTATTTAATGCCAATTATCTTATGTGAATTTTAGGCTCAGTATGAAGATGTGCGATGCAAATGTATATGTCCTAGCCCAGAAGTAGTCAAGGGCAATAAAACTGAAAGAAAACTTTATATTGCTAATGTTGTTCCTTCTCAATGGTAAGATAGTGTAGTTACTAATCATACATTCACAATAATAGGCTGGATTAGTAAAATAATAACTTAAGTATGAAATAATGTTACTAATTACTAAAATACAACAATTCATAATGATTTCCCATTCGAGAAACATTGTAAACATTTTTATTTAAGGAATGTTGTCATCTTGAAAAGTGCAAAAATACTATAACTTTTTCTTATCTTTTTCCAAATTTTTTTTTCATTATAATAATCAAAACAATAAGTGTGAAGTAGTATGTCAACTATATTTTGATTATGCACTAGTCATTACAATTTTTAAATTTGGGATGACAATTTTTTTTCATTCTAAAATAGATTTGTAGGCATATATTAATTTTATTCATTTTTTTTACTACATACTTATTTTGTTTGACATACCGATATTTCATACGTAAGAACTTCAATAATGACAACAGTTCAGTGGGTCTCCACCTGGTTAAGGTTTAGTTGTTTTAGGAAATTATAAAATGAATATTTTTAGTTTTAAATTATTCAAGAAAAATATATTTTGCCCATTTTTTTTCTCGAATTAAAATTTGTGCATTTAGAGATTCTCTTTAAATTATTTGCTCTATCAGTAAATTTGTGTAAAAATTCTTGCATAATAATACTATGAACTGATTTGATAAATTTGAGTGATTTTCTACATGTTTCATTGCAAAAAGGAAAATCGTTCTTGCTAGCTTTAAAATAGTTTTTCTTTCCTTTTTTTTATTTTGCTTTAGAAATCATTCACTGATCCATTGAAAAATTTAAAATTTTTTCATTTCCTTGAAATGTTACTTTGTTTCTGTAATCAAATGATATTTGTTCTATATTTTCGAATACATAGATAGTGCATGCTGAAATAGCTTTTCATTGTGTATAAAGAGAGCATTCAGAACTTAAAACTTTCGATATAAGTATTTTTTTTTATTTTCATTTCTTAAACATGATACAATTGTGAATCAAACAGAGTGCTTAAAAAAATAAGAGTTATTAGGTGCTATTCATACTGCTTCATTTTACAATTATTATGTCAGAGCTCATTCTAGGCAGGGGAATTCTTTTGACTAAAAGGGCAGCACCCTGCTGCCCTTTTAGTCAAAAGAATTCACCCTGTTGCCCCTGAAGTAAATTAGTGCCCTGATGTAATAGACTCCATACCCTTTTTGCCCTTTCTTTCCTCAACCCTTCTTTACTTTTTCACCAAACTCTACATTGGATTTCATGAACTGTTATTTTTAACTCTTTTTATTTAGTTTGTCATTGCTGTCAATACATAGATTTGTATGGGAAAGGAAAAATAGCCATCACAATCCATTGTTGCACTTGTCTTTGAAAGTTTGCAGTTACTTCTACTATCATTAAATCATAATTATTATTAATCATTTTAATTATTTAATCATAACTACAGACACTTAAAAACATACATTTATTATTTTATTAATATATGCATGCATTTTAAATAAATTACTAAGCTAATTAGCTCATTAACTCGATATATATGTTAATTTATTAATGAAAATAAGTAATTAATTATTGATTTGCTACTTTTAGTTAAGTAAAAAAAAATATTTTACTAATTGACAATGTTTTTTAATAGAACGTGTAAAGAATTCGTGTTTTTAATAGAACGTGAAATTATTGCCTTTTTAGAATAATAATGCCCTTTTTTTAAACTTTTGCACCCTGCCCTTTTTTCTGTCTAGAATGAGCTCTGATTATGTTATATTGGTGTATATGTTTTTATTCATATGTTTTTTTTTTAGCAAATGTGAAGGAGTTGTAATGCCTCAAGCAGATGACTATCTGAGAGCTAAAGAAAAAGAGTTCTGTCCAAGATGTGAATGTCGCTATGAACGTCGGAATACCACAACAATATTTGTAAATAATTTTTAAAATCTCATTTTAATGTTTTAAATATTTAATTAATTTATTTTATTATTCAATTATTTTCCTCTCAGTAATCATCTAAAAAGCTTATGTTAAAATTTTATAAAGTTGTTGAAAAAGTTTTTTTTGGCCTGAAACATTTTTTAGAATTTTGACTCTATCATATTAACTTTATGAATTGTACTATTGTTTTTTCATAATGATTTGCTATATTTCAGGTTGTGGTAATTATAATTATTTGGGTAATCTCGTTATTGACTGTATATATGTTGTTCTTGATGTGCCTGGATCCGCTTTTGAATAAACGAAGAACCGCATATCAAAAGCATGAAAATGAAGAAGTCACTTTGGTTAGCATTATTTTTATTCATTTTTTCCCTTTCTATTGTTGTTTATTTTATTATTTCCTACTCTGATTTTTCCTCAAACTTCTGAAACATTATTTATGTATATATTTATTATTTATATTGTTTATTTGGGATCCTTTAATTTTTTTCCGATAATTTTTGTAGGCAATTGGTAGGGATATGGCCTCCTTAATGAGCATTAATTTTTTTAAACAGAATTTTTAATTACAGTTGATTTCAAAATTTTTTTATGTTGGTATTTTTTAAAATTGTTATTGAGAATTATAATTTTCTTACGTTGTGTTATGTTATCTAAGATAAAAATATAGACCTTGCTAAAGGTAAATTCTGTAGTGATGTATGTAATGATTTTTCAATGAATTTTTTTGAATAATATTTATTTTTACTTGTAGGAAGGGGTAAGTTCTAATTTTTTTTTTTTTTTTTGCATAAATATATAAAAATCAGTGTAGAGTGTGCAAAAAAAAGGGATCTCCCTGAATAACTTTTGATCTAATGATGCTCGTTTTAGGACTCAATTTTAATAGCTTGAGGGGGTGACCTCAAATATGCTCATTAATATGTTCAGACGATATTTTAAGTTACAAAATTAGACACGAAGGGTACTTTCTCTGAATAAGCATGCTTTTTTCCCTCGGATTTCTGAACCTCAAAATAAAAGAGGGTAGCCGCAATCTGGAAATAATGGTCCCAATTGGACCCTTCGTGTTAGCTTTACTTTTTGCATATTTCGTTATATCTCAAGAACATTTTAAGTGAACTGAAAAATTTCTGAGTACAATTATAAAATTCATTTATCCAAAGATAATTCCATGCAAAAAAATAATTTTTAATAAATATTTATTATTTTATTTAATAATGGTTGAAAAAATTTTGCTCACATTTTGTATTTTACCATATAAAATTATATTCTTACAAATAATGCTAAAAATTGTATACCTTACAATTCAAAATTTTTTTGACCATTATCAAATAAAAAATAATAAATATTTACTAAAAATTAATTTTTGGCTTGGAATTATCTTTGGATAAATGAATTTTATAATTGTGTGCAAAAATGTTTTAATTCGCTTTAAAAGTCTTTGAGATTAGCGAAATATGCAAAAAGTAAAGTTAACTTTAAAGGGTTCAACTTTTGAGCACTCTTTGTACCAAACTATTGTGACCATATTTTCTAGTTTACAGCTACCCCCTATATTTTGGGGGTCAGAAATTCGAATCCGTAAAAAAGTACATTTATTCAGAAAAAGTATGTTTTTGTGTCTGATTTCAAAACTTAAAATATCGTCTGTACTCAATAATTAAGCATATTTGAGATCATCTTCTCGTGGCATTTAGATCCAGTCCTAGAATGTGAAGATCCGATCATTACATCAAAAGTTATTCATAGTGGGCCGACTTTTTTTTGCGCACTGCACACTACCCTGCAATAAAGGAAGAGATGCGTTCACTTTTTGAGATTTTTTTTAAAAAATTTCTCAAGAAAGACTAAGAGAATTATTTTTTTTTAAACTTTGAGGGTGTTTAGTTCATGCGATTTTTCCTACTTAGAAATAAGGTTTAAAATTTTCAGATGTTCGAGGGACCGACAATAAATTACCAAGGAAAACAAGTATTATAGAACACTTTATACCACATCCAATCATTAAATCAAGAGTTATCAGGGTGGTCCGTTCTTTTTATTTGGGGGGGGGGACTTGTACATATATAAAAGCAACTTTCCTTTCTTTAATCTTTTGTTATTTTTGCATTTAACATCAATTTCAAATTTTAATGAAAATTTCATCTCAATTTCTCTTAATTTACATGTTTTTAATGAAATTATATCAAAATTTTTTAAAAGAAATTTTTTTTTTTTTTATGCAGGCTCTAGTCATTGCAATTTTAAACACAAATAGTACACAGTTTCCACAATACCATTCCAATTCAGTATGTCCATCAACATTGTTTAAAATTATTTTATAAAACCTTATTTTAACGTTGAAAAATATTTAAACATTACTGTTTGAGACACCCGATCTCGCATCACCAATAAATCTGTCCCTCTTCTTACACCATTAAAGTCGTAATCATCAGAAGCAAAAGTTAGCCTTACATTCAAATGCCAAATACCACAATAAAATAACTTCTTTAATACTTTATTTCCACTTCTTTAAACTTATTGTTATTGTGTTACACTAGATATTAAATGTTAAAACTGTACAAGATTATTAATTTATAAACATAGTTCACTCGTTGGGATTACATTATAGAATCCTTTACAACGTTTAGAAATTCTTGTTTTGTAAGATTCATGATAGAGAGCTCTGGCATTGATATTGATATGAAATTTTATTGATACTTACACACAAGTGTGTATAATTATTGTGTAATTTTAATATTTTTAGAAAGTCCTTTTTTTCATTGTTCTTATTTTCCATTTAATGCAAAATGGAATGAAGTGATACTCTCATGTTTACAAATTTCATATTAACTAACCTGACTGTTAGTTGCAAAGTGCCTATGAAATATCTTATGCTCATATGGTGATATTATTTCATCATTCATCAATATCTTATGGTGATGTGGCTGATCACATGACTGAAAATTTTTTTTTGTTTAATTTTTTATCTAAAGAAACTTTATGACTAAACTTTTGGATTCTATCAGTTGCACAAGACAGAGTTCTATTTATTATAATTTCTCTAGACATCTTTTTGATGCATAGTTTTCTTTGCTAATGCTGACCTACTTTCTATATTTTACAAATATTTTATTTTCTTAATCTGCATTTGTATATCAACTAAATAGTACATTAGACATTACTGAATGTGCTATTTTGAAATTAGCCTATTATATTATTCAAAAATAGTTTATTTTCTTTTTGAACCATAAGTAACTATTATATTGATGCATTAAAATTATCTGAAGTTTTTAAAATATAACCAAAAACTCCAAAGAAAAAAACCCAAACTTTTAAATCTTAGAAGCATTTTTTTAATAACTGCTTAAGCCAAAGATGTGCTCCTGAATCGCTTGGTTTATATTATCATGTATTGAACTAACAACTTCTAATAAAAAAAGTTAGTCTGAATTTAAAAAAAACAACGTTACTCTCCTCTTATTCGGCATTTTATGGCATATATATTAAAATGCCTCCCTAATTATTTTTCTTACATTTCTTTGGATTTAGATCATTGCTTTTTTTTTTAGTTCGATTTATCTAACATTTATCTTCTCTTAAATGTGTTTTTTTTTCAGCAGGAAGGGGTGAGTTTCGATTTAATACATCTGTGTGTTATGTAGAGATAATTTGCACAAAGAAATTTTAAGTATTGTAATTGTGTTGTCAATTGATTTTTTTAAAAACTAATTTTGTAATAATAATTTTGCTGTTATGCTTAATTCAAATCACTTCTAAACCATCTGGGGACTAACTGAAAAGAAATTGGGTTATTTTCAAAATTCAAATACCTTTTACAGAAATCCAAAAATAGGACTCTGATAAGAAATTCTGTGTTGATTGCATACTGTTATTACTATTTATTTTCATTTTTTAAATTATGCTTTAAATTGTATTATGAAAACTATGTATATTAAACATGTAATTTACTTATTATTTTCTAATGCTTGAAATAAGCATGCATTACTATGGTTCTTTAGTTCCTATTTTCTCATTAGTTACTTTGAGTAGGGACTGGACGAAGAAATGCAGGTTTGAGTTGGCTTTTAGTTTTAAAATTCATAAATGAAAATATATAAAACTTCTAAAAAATTCAGCACTTCGATTTCAACAATTTAAAAAAAAATGCAATTAATGATAAGTAGATTAATTAAACAGAAGCCAACCAACATTGAATTTTGCGAGAAAATGGTGAAATATCAATGAGCTGGATGGGATACTTTAAATTCAAAATTTTGTGAAAGGTGAAAATTAATTTGTTCATAGTTTTCTGTTTAAGGTGTATCTTAAAATTCAAGGCACATTTCATGAGCACAAAGCACCCAAATTTTATCTTGACATTTAAATTAAAAACTTAATTGCAAAATGTTTTGAGTAAATATTCTAAACTGTAAGGTTCTTACATTGCTTTTTATAAATATAAATATATATTTTAAATTTTAGATTTATGTTATACCTGGGGTAAGTTAACTAATGATACTTTTTCCAAGCCTCAAGTTTTGAAATATTGAAAAAATTAGAGTCCAAAAGTATTTTCGTAACAAGAGATTTAATGAAGAATAGTTTGGTTTGGGGAATGATATTGTAGAGAAACGAGAAGTCCAAAATTTAACCTTTTACTTACGGCTGATAACAATAAGTGGACCAGATTGAAAGGCTTCACCATGCTAAGCACTGTAAGCAAGGGTTACGAAATGATAACGTTTACCGTTTCTTAGATTGTTAGATTTTTTTGCATTGTTTTTTAAAGCAATGGTAAATATGCTTCAATTTGCTATTTTTTTTCTTCTTATTTCAAACTTCTTTTCATATTTAGTACACATTTTAAATAAAATTTTCAAAATAATTGAAAATTTCAATTTATACTCATGACGATATCTTATTTTACACTTTAGTATATATACTCAAGAAAATTTTTCAATGCCAGTTAAAGTTTAGAAAAATTAGGTAAAAAATCAAGCATATAATTTATTTGTTATTTTTCTAATGCTTGAAATACGATTACTATGGTTCTTTTAGTTCCTTTTTTCTCATTTGTTTCTTTGAGAAGGAAAGAATAGTACAGATTGCATTAAGAAATGCATGTTTTAGTCTGGCTTAAATTGTTTAACATTTTTTTAATGAATTTAAATTCTCATTAATGTAAATTGCATTTACTTGTTCTATTTGTTCTTTCTTGAATTTATGACTTGCTTAAATGCCTAACTGTCATATTGTTTTAATAAATTAATATTATTATTAGAAAGGTAATTTATCTTCATGACAAAATAAAATTAAGTTAACAAGTGTTTTCTTTTTAATTTAAATTTATTTTACACACATATATATTCTCATAAATGTAAATCACGGGCATTCAAGTGTTGATTTTATTAAAATTTTTAATTTTTACCTTTTTGCATTTCCTTAATTTATTTTTGAACTTACTAAAAATAATTTCATTAAAAAAAAAACTCGAAATATTTTCATTTTAAATGTTCCAACTAACCTTGAATCCAAGTGAATATAAATCATAGGATTTTAAACATATGATTCTGTCAATTTTTATTTTTCACCAAGTCTATTTTTAAGCTGTCAAAATTAATTTCAATAAAAAAATAGAAATTACTTTGCTGTTCTGTTTTTAAATTGTAGGGATTCATACATTTGATTTTAACATCTGATGCTTGACTGTCAAAAATTTGCAGCCATTAGGGGAAATAGTTTTGACAGAAGAGGCGACATAAGATCTTGGTGCAGGACTAATAAACAGAGGCAAATTATTAAAAACATCATTAAACGCACCCTGGAGGACGCACTCGCCCCTGATGACATTTTGGATCTGCTCTACACGAACTAAACTCAGTCCTGGTTGTTGGGCTGCCCGTCTGTTCGCTTCCCGTTATTTTGACAACGTTTTGTTGTTTTATCTATCTCAGCTTTTTAGTTCTGTTTTAATCTATTTATTCACTACATTGTGCTTTTTAATTGGCTTATTTACATTGCCTTTCCTTGCTTTGCAAATTTTAGCGTCGCCTTTTAATTGTATTTGATAATTGTTTGTTTTACCACTTTACATCTTCACCTCCTTTTGTTTTACATTTGAGATTTTCTTGGCTCATTACGCCTTGTTCTTCTGTCTTACCTGTTGTCAATTTGTCATCGACTGTATTGGTTCTTTGACCTATATTAACTTGGGACCTCCGTTTACCTGTGACCTTTTAATGTTTTCTTATGTTCACTTCAGGTACACGTTTTTTTTTAATGGTTCACTTCATGTTTTACTGTTCTTGAATACATCACTGCGATGTGTTGTAAAATTTTTCATTTGTGTCTTTGGCTCACTATAAGGGAAGCCCCGTCGGCTTCGGCACTATAAGGCGGGACTCTCGGAGCATTTTAATTATTTTACTGCTGTTGCCATCAGACTCTGTAACATAACTATGTAAACATAATGTTTACATAATGTTACTCTGTAATGTTACTTTTTGTATTTTATGTACTTTTCTGTTTTTCTTGATTTTAATAAACATTTACCCGTATGCCCTAAATTGGGGCAGGTCGGGGTAAATATTTCATACATTTAATTTTATAGGATTTTTCAATTTTCTTTGGATTTTGGATTTTTCAATGACTTTGCATCTTTTCTTAATCTCTTTAAAAGGTTAATAAATTGAAAATGGCAAACTATTTTTTTGTATCACCTGTCCTGTTGTTACCTTTTTTTTACAACTATTTAGTATTTTTTTATTGAAATTCATAAATTATTTTAATTTATTTATTTTAAGGAAAAAAATGAACGTAAACTAAATAATTCTTTATCTTTGAAATAAAAAAAAAAAAAGAATTTTAATGAAAAGTCGAAGAATTTCAACTGTTCTGATCATTATGCTTTTTGTTCCTTTTTTATCCATGTTTTAAATTTTTTTTTTGGAAGTTATATTGTTTTTTTTTTTAATCAAATTTTAATTTTTATTTGCTTTTAAGGAAATTTTTGGCTTAAAAATAGTAAAACTTTTATTGTTTATTTCAAGAATATTCTGTGTTAAATTATGTAGCAGAAAAAAACAAACAGTATAAATTACACTTAATTTTTTTCCAACTGTTAAGGAGATTAAGTGTCCTCAATAGATCATAAAAGTATTATTGTTTTCTTAAATTTGGTAATTAAAGTACCTTAAATGGCACTCACCCTTTTTTATTGTTTTGATTTTGTTTGTTTCCATTACTTTCAGAGTGAACCCATGGCTACAGCTATGAGACCTCGAGCAGGCACTACAAATGTTTTGAATAGAGTTGGCGAGCAACAAGATAAATGGAAGCGGCAAGTTCAAGAGCAAAGAAGAATTATTTATGATCGTCATACAATGTTAAATTAGTTTTGTTATCCTTCTTAGTTTTTCCTATTATATTTTATGCTTAGGTTTTCCTGAAAAAATGTTGTATAAAAATGTTGATACAAAGGAAAAAGATTTTTTTCTTCTATTAAAGATTGTGAAAATACTATTCATGATTAAATGTTTCTATTTAATTTTATTTTGATTTATGCATTTGCTTTTGTGTTAAAATATCAATTTCACTCTGAAATACTTTTATCATTAATAATGATGAGCTATTACACCGACTATTGATGATAAAAAATTGCTTCTGATCAATTTTTTTTTAATAAAGATTGATTTATTCTGTTAAATTAGATTTATTTACTTAATTTTTTTAATTTTTTTTATTGATCTCTTAATTTTGAGTTGGAGCAAAAATATTCCAGTATTTTTGGCACTTTTTTAAATTTAAAATGTTTGAATACATTTATTTACTTTTTATTAATGTTATAGTTTTATTTGATAGTCCCATCATGGCTTTGCTAAAATTGTTTTCCATATGTATTAAATATGTTATAATTCTGTAACATAGTCAATTTGAAAATATAAAAAGGCTCTCTCTGCAAAACATTAGGCTATTAAAATAAATCCAATGTTTTTTTTTTTAATTGTTAACATTTGTTAATTGTTTTTTTATTGTTAAGTAAATGCTAAACATATAAAAATCTATCAATTATTTAATTCTATTTTTCTTGCATGTTATTTTCTATTATCTGATGGTTTTGTTATTTGATCTAGTCTTGTTTTTTGGTGATAAATTGCTATTTGATTTTGATGCTAGATAAAATATTAAAAATGTCTATTATAATTTGTAACAATAGTGTTCTCATACTTGAAAATTAGTCTTTTTTTTAAACACAGATCCCAACATAAATTAATGTTTGATAAATCTTATGTGTGTGTTGTTTTCCTATCTTTTTTGATATTTAGTGCATCCTATTTGGGAGCAGAAATATGCTGGAGAAGTACTATTTTTGAAATAAATAAAAATTACTTGTATGAACACAAAAATGAGAGTAACTACATTTTTTGACAGATCTCATTAAATTGATTTTAAGACTTATGTATATCTGTTCAAATTGTTCTTTGTTTAAACTTTTGTTTAAATAGAAATGTGTTCTTTAAAACATGTAAATTTTCAAAACAATTTCTACTACATTTTTTTATTTTATAGTTTTATTTAAATTGGTTAGTAATTTTTATATTAAGTATAAACTGCTCATAAAATTGTTTTGGTGTATTTTTTTTAACTTAAAATTACTACAGTATTTTTGTACAGATTTAAATATTATTAACAATCTAATGTTTCTTTGAATACTAATAAGCCCAATTTTACAGTTATTCAGAAGTTCAGTTGAAGATCAGGCAAAATCACTTAAAAGTAAAAAGTATTTTTTTCCTTGGAATAGTTTTCTTATTATTTTTATTACAAATTAAGATGTTTTGTAAATTACTGAATACCAATCACTAATATCTGTCAGTTTCCATTAATTCATTTGCGAATTTTTTATATGCTTATTTTTATTCATTCATTCATTTAAATCGTATGCTGTATAGCATTTTATATGATATGATTGGTACATATATGTGTAACAATCATATTTTGCCCTTAATTAAATCCATATCAAGTTTAGTTGGAATTAGTCAACATTTAGTGTTTTGAGAAATTTTTTAAGTAGCTACTCTCTTTCAAACCACATTTTGTTTGAATCTTAAAAATTGCATATTTTTTTTGAAGATAATACAGTTAAACAAATAGGGAATTTCTCTCTATTATGTTTTAGTTTTTTATATTAAATATTTTGCTACACTGTGAAAAATAGTTTTTATAAAATACTGGGTGTGTCTAAGATGACTAACAATTTGAAAAATAAATAAGGAAAAATTTGATGTAAATTGTTTGAATCACATACTTTATTCTCATTAAGCTTTGAAATTTGTTACCAAATTGATGGTGATGCTGAATAACAACTACAAAACAGTGTTTTTTACTGCATGTAAGACCATTCTAACTGGAATAGGCTGCCTGTTAGTTTTGCTCTCAAATTGCCTCACATCGCAGCAAATGGTGGTTGTTTTAAAAACATAGTTTTATAATTTTCTTCCAGTCAGTAATTCCGTCTGAATCCTTGATGATGAACTTTTCCGATGAACTTTTCAACTAATTTCTGTACTTATACTCTGTTGCAAGTTAAGAAAAAACCATTATCCTTATGGGGAGAGCCTGTTTGCATCAAAGTGCTTGCTAAATAGATACTAAACTGCCAGCGTGAACGTATATCGACATCGCCAACTATTGAAATGATGTTGCACACCTTTCTCTTTGCCTGCTTTCTTAAATCATGTGAAGGGAGAACAGTAAAACTTATTCTTTGTTGATAAGACTATTGTTTTGTTAATAAGAATGAATAAAATTGATGTCTAAAATTCATAACAAATATTCTGTTGGTATATAAAAAAAACTAATGAAAGAGTAGTAGATATTGTTTCTTACAGACGATTTTCTTCTACAGCATTATGAAAGAAAAAAAAATCCTTATCTCTCCTTTGATTTGTTAAGGGTATGTCAGAACAAGACGCACCATTTTTAGTGGTTCAATCAAATCCAATGTTCTTGCGACATCTTATAGTTGTTTCTTTTTCAAGACAGAATGCTCTTCTTATTTATTGAAATATGTCGCTGAGTCTAGAATTCTTGTAAGACTATGAAACTACAACCCTTTTTTAATAATTATATGGCATGAATTAAATTTCTTTCTGGTGAGTTGAATTTTTTAAAGCTTTTATATAGTTTTGAAAGCATATTTATATAATTAGACAACTAAATAAAACAGAACTATATGCAGTCGTGGATGATTAATTAAATCCTATACTGCCATTTTCTTTTCTTGACTTACAACAGTGATGTTAACTCTTTGGTCTCTTCACAACACTTCAAACTGTGCATTTCTCTCTACTTCCGCATTTGTTTTTGAAATTGATCTTTCAAATTGTTCTTTATTTAAACTACACCACTCAGTTATTTTCTTTAAACATATTTTTTTTTTATTTCAATGCTAAATTATTGAATAGTTAGATCATTAAATTTACCTAATGAATGACCTGTTACATAATTAGTGCAGTTGTATAATTACTGAGTGAGCCAATTAAAACTGATATGTGTGAAACAAATAAATAGATTTAGTTTAAATGGTGGTTCAAATTAATAAGGTTATTTATAAAATCTTTTCGGATATATTTTATCTTAAAAAGCTACCTGTATAAGCATTTATCACCAAATATGTATATAATATTTAATACTTGTACATAATAGTGTATGAAGTGTGTATTGTTTATATTTTTGTGAAAGTTCTTTGAACGACACCTTTTGGGATCTGGGCATTTCTTTGTAAATATAATTGTTGCTGTGTAAATTGATCTCCTGTCTACTTTCACTCCTTATATTAATCAAGAAAAATGTGTACATATATATTTATGAGATTGAATTCATATATATTCATTTAGATTTGTAGAGCTCATATATTTATTTCTTTTATTCTAAGAGCATTTTACGTTGTATTCAACAACTGAAAAATAAATCGAGTTTGAAAAGATTTTTCTGAACTTATTAATTATAATTTTCACTGTTATATCTTTAAAATTTAAAATAATCAACTACAGTTAATTATTTTCAGTAAAAGATCAAGAAATTGAAGGGCTAGGGGGATGAACGTTCTACGAGACCTTTTAGTGTAAGTAAATTGATTTTGGAATGTTGAGAAAGTAAATATTATGCTTTGTCTTTATTTGTCTATAAGTTTCGAAATCTACAAATCTTTAAGACTGCCTTGTCTTCATAGCCTGTGGTCGGAAGAGCGCACTACGAGTAGTGAAACTACTGTAGTCGCTACTTTTTTTCATAGTTTTTAATGTAGTGGACTACTTTTTAAAAAAAGTAGTGCCGTGAGTGGTGGGATACAAAAAAAAGTAGTAGCGATTCTTGACAACTACTTTAAACGCTAGTTTAGTAAAGAAGCAAGGCTCTTACGCAATTAATTTTTTGAGTTTGATTGGTACAAATTGTCGGTGCAAGCCAGAAGCAGAAAGCGCGCAGACCAGCCATCCTGTGATTCGAGTGTGGGTTCCATGTTAGGAGCAGGGCTTTCTATCCTCTAAATTGCTACTGCTGCCTTTTTTTATTTTGAGTAAATTATTGAGTTTTCAATTTGTCTTTTACCTTTTTAAAAAGTCTCGTATGTTCAGAAAAATGTTCTAATTTATTTTTTCTTCTGTCCTCTCTTGAGAGTCGCGTAGTGCTTTCATTTATTGAGATTTCCCTAATTTAATAACTTTGCAAAGTAAATTAACATTCACGAGACTAAAATAAAATATATATCTGAAGGTCTCAATTTTTCCAAAGTGTCTCATGAAACCTTCTTTAATTATGCTATTTATTTAAATTATTTTGTTTTATTCTAGCATTCATGACCTAACGTTTTTAGCCTAGTTATGCATGAACATCTATGGGCAACAAGATGATGACAGAGGCAAAAAATGTCATAAATTGCAAACAGTTCTGGTGATGGTAAGATGCATTATATTTATGCCTATGCCCACAATGACTCTTGTATTATGGTTTGGGATGGAGGAGACAACTGTGACAGGAAAGAACCTCTACATAAGAAAACAATATGCTACTAAGTTTAACTTAGTGGGATTTCGTGTTATCTTATGGATGGATAATCTATATTCATCAATGGAGCATGTAGCATATAAAGAGAAAAAACAAAATACAGTCGAATTCTTTTTCACGAGCACTTAGGGTCCGTCCACAAATGATTTCACGCTTGGAGGAGAGGGGAGGTTTCATAAAATTAAGGTAATGGGGGTGGGAGAGTAACAAAAAATGTGATTTCAAACGTTTTTGTTCAAATAAAAAATGAGAATGAGATAAAAATGAGAAGATTAAATATTGTTATTTTTATTAAACAAAATACCCTAGAAGCAAAATAATTAGGGCCCTTATTGAACCAATATTCAGGAGTCACTGCTCAATAAAGGTTCAGAGGGCTGTTATTTTTTTGATATCGGCTCTATATAGAATTGTCCGATTCACCCGAAATTTTACAACCAATACTGACCCTATATAGAATTGCTAGATTCACCAGATATTTTATATGGATTATTCAGCCAATACAGGCCCTACATAGACCATTCCGGGACCAATATTAAGAAATCTAGATATCCTAATATTGGTCCTTCTTATAGGATCCGTATGGAGACAATTTTGGGGCTAAGGTAAAATTGTTGCTTGGTTACGAACGCGTTTAAATATTGTTGTTTTGCTCATTAATATCATCAAAACACATTTCTAAAGTTTAAAGATGAAATTTAAACTATGATATATGATTATTTCTGAACTGCAAGGTGTATATGTTTGTCTAGTGTGCCAAAAAAAAAAAAAAAGATAAGGACCACCAAGAATAACTTTTGATCTAATGACCGAACCTTTACGTTCTAGAACTCAATCTGAATGTCTCGAGGGGATGACCTCGAAAAAGTAATTAATAAGTGCAGACGATATTTTAAGTTACGAAATAAGACACAAAAGCGTACTTTCTCTGAACAAATATACTCTATTTTGATGGATTTGGATTCCTGACCTCCAAAATATAGGCAGGGTTCCCACGGTCCTTGAGAGTCCTTGAAAGTCCTTGAATTTTTTTTTGCATGTAT